TCTAAATACATGTTGCTTTTTTTTTTTTTTTTTTACCTCTGGAAAAAGCCAATTAAGCTGTTTATTTTCTTCAGACTTGTCCTTAGCTTTGCCATCATCATCATCTAGCAGCATTTTTTACGTAGCATGCTTACATCAGTGGTATCAATATTTACATCTTACACTCTGCAAGAAAACCAATAAGCCCATTTTTTGAAATGTCACTGTGGATGAAGTAAGAAACACTTAACAGTAAGGGTAATAAATGTAAATTTGAAGCTAGCTAATATGAGAGGTCAGAGTTCAAGTGTTGAGAACCCAGCAAATGTCTCTAGTATTCCAACCTGACATTTATGTTGACTCGAGTGTTCTTGTGTATAATTCAGCCTGAATGCATGGTCAAGTGATTTCCATGACAACTTTGCCCTGATCAGACTGTAAAGATACAGTTATAGATCTCATTAGATCCTTTAATACAGACATACCTGAATGTCCTTCAGCACACCCACCTTCCCTGTTCTTTGGTCTCTTTTTGGTCATCCATCATGTTGAAGCCATTACTTTAAAGTGTGTTTTTGGCGTGTTGGGATGGGGTCTAGCTACAAAGGTGAAATACCACAGATGGTGGGGGAAAAAACACAGATGGTCAAAAAAATGTGGAGCAAAGTACTGTTCCTTATTTTGTTTCTCAACAAAAGAAAAAGCCAAGCTGTTTTTCTTTGATTTTCCGCCTGTGCTTATCTGACAGATACCGAACTGGTGTCTCCTCCGCTCTGCAGTGACTGTATGCGAATGCTTGAGAGAGGCAGCGTGTGTTATTTGTTGCTCTGCTATCAACAGTATGAAACCTGTGTGTGAGAGTGTGTGTGTGTGTGTGTGTGTGTGTGTGAGTGTGTGTTGTAGTGACTGGACATTGGTGTGCTTGCAGTGACTGCATCTTATGGCGATCTGCTCTGAATAAATAAATGTTCTATACAAACTGTACCGTCTTCAGCTTCCTTAAGTGTTGTGATGTGAACCTTGTCTTGATAAGGTTCTCCTCCAGGGGGTGGCATAGGTCTGCAATACAGCACTTCACAATGCATTTCTTAGGAAGACCTTTATCACCCCCCCAACCCCCCCAAGCATTTACACAGGAGTGTTAACTTTATTTGAACATCACCAGTTCAGGCCATGTACACATTGTGCTTGTTTAAGTCTTCACCTTGTTTTAATCCTTTGATAAGTGTAAGATGAGAAGAATGACAAAAATAGTAAAAATGTAAATGTTTCTCCTGTAAATTTGAAGCCACAGATAAACAGCAGGTTGGATTTGAAAAGCTGACAGCACATCGTCATCATCCAGTATCTTTAAACTAGTTTCTTTATTTGTTGTATAAAACAACTAACTGTAACAACGACAATGTTAATGTTATGTCTGCCAATAAAGCCTCAACCTTCCATGCTGGTAGGATAGCAGTGTGGTCATGTTAGCAGGCTTTCTGCCAAGCGAACTAGCTTCAGGGCTGTCACTTAGTATTTAAGGTTGTGAGGCAGGTACTCAGTGTTCTGAAATGAAAATGTACAGTATAGTGAAAATCTGGAGGCATCGTGATTAGTTCAAGGACAAACTACATATTTGAGAACTCAAATCCTTACAGAACTAAGGTTTAACCCCTTCCTCACCCACAACAACACTGCAGTTTGAATTTGTTACTGGAAACGTGAAGAAACATTTCGGAGCCAACTGTTAAGTTAGCGAGCTATGAAGATTGAGGTGCTGAACATCAGTTGCAGACATAAACTGTTGTAAACTCAGCTACGTATGTGTATCTAAAAAGTTATGGAATTCATTGTTGTAGCTTCTAATATGGCCCTATGTCCTGCTCTATGTCACAATCTGTTGTTTTAACGGTTGCTGAGAGATGAAGGAAATTATAACAAGTCAGAATCCCATGTTTTAGACCTATGATTTACAAATCTGACATACAGCAGCACACATTGTAGCAGCATTTCAAGCCCTCAGCCTTGGCTTGATGTTTCGAGAAAAAAATGAAGATTGCAGTATCTTGCGTTGAAATAAAATAAAACACATCAACAGTTCCAAAGTGTACAATGGTTTTATTGATCGATGATCAACTCAGGCTTACATGATTACAAGTATACAAGACATCACTGAACTGTGACCAGTGAAGACACTTCTCTTCCCAAACAACTTAATCACAAAGCCTACTGTAAGTATGGGTCATATATGCATTGAAATGAAGGCAAAATACTTCTTTAAAAACTAGATTGAGCCCATGCTTGTATATTTAGATGGATTAACGTGTTCTCATGAACGTAAACTACCCTTCCAGGCAAATTGAGTTGTTTTGCATTTTCTAAACCCAATATGGGTCCTGAAACATTATTTAGGAAAGCAGGACTCAGTGGCACTTTCTCTGCATATGCTTCTGTGAAGTTTAAAGGTTTATTACACACAATCACCTGCTCACCTTCACTGTGAGTCCACAGCATGTTACAGTCATGAAACAACAATCAGTTAATCTGTGGTTATGTTCAGTCTAACCAGCTGAGGTTACATATCAGAGAGGGAGTGGGGCAGAGAGAGTGAGTGGACAAAAAGACACATCACAACACTTTGTCCTTGCTTTCATACACACACATATGGCACTCATTGAAACACACACACACACACACACACACACACGCACAAAAACAGGCATGTTCATGCACACAGATGGTCCTCTCGTCTCTCTGTCCCTCCCGTCATGTTGGCCAGGGTGAGTCATCATCTTGGGCACAGGTCCAGACTCGGCACTATTTGTTTCTTTACACAACTGTACAACCGTCGGGTGGCTCTGAATACAGCTCTATCATGGCACTATTATAAAACTCAGTAGATCTATAGAAATGTCATTCTCTTTGAAGTCTACTCTTAATGAAAGGTGTTTTTACAAAAGGCTGGTTTCACAACACTTAACTCAGAGACAACTGATATGAACAAGGGAAGGAAATGTGTTATTATATCTCCGCCCACCCATGCTGCTGATGTGTTCACTTTTCTTACAGAGCAGATGGAACATTGTGCACCCTTTTTGCACTCGTCTTCGGTTCAGCTCCAATGCTACTCAGCTCAGTTATGTAAAAGTAATAAACTATCTTGTCTTAAGTAAAGGAATACTTAAGTTTCCAGGTTTTACTGACTGAAATATGATGGTATCCCTACTTAGTTATATGTTTGTCCTTCCCTTCTCATGTGTGCTAGTTGTGCAAAATGTACCTTTAGGTTTCTTCAAACAGATAAGTGTTGTTTATTAACTAGACAGACTTTCATTTGAAGGTGCTTCCACATAAAAAGTTTTTGTCTTATGTTGCAGACAACAAGAAACTACTTTTCCCAATGACTGTTCCTAATCCAGCTGAGAGCTGTATACATGAAGTTAAAACGACTAACGCTGGGGGTGCTGGTAGCCTATTGTCCTCCAAGCAGGCGGCCTGGGTTTGACTCCGACCTGTGGCTCCTATCCTGCATGTTATTCTCTACTCTTTCTCTCCAATCTTTCCCATAGACTGTAAATTTAAATGGACGAAGCCTGAGTGACGTCAGCCATCTGTTACGGCAGGGGGCTCCGGAGGCTCATCGGCTGCAGCCACCATGCTGGATATCCTGTCTCAGACTAACCTGTCAATCATGTCAGCTACGTGCCTAATTATGAATAAAACATATCTTTCATTTAATTATTTTTATGAAAGATACCAGACCTATTTCTTTGTTTAAATTAAAAAAAACAAGCATAAAAAAGAATATCAGAAAATGTATTTGCTTAACTTTTAAAGAATTGTGAACCTGACACATGAGCAGGATGTTTTACAGTTTAAAAAAAACTGTATTTTAAATATGATATAAGAAATGACTCGCATCTAGTTTACTTGTATTTACTGCAATTATTATTTCAATACATTCTTTCAGAAAAAAGCTAATACTCTGGAAAGGACACTATATGCAGTTCACAGATGTCTCAGAATGCTTTGAGCTACTGCTACACTCAAGGCTGTGGCTCAGTGGAAGAGTCACCCCGAACTTCCAACAGATACGTCTGCATTGCGTTTCCGCTCTGGTCCGTTTCGGCTCCGTGGAACTCTATGTAAACCTTATAAACACATAAACAAATGCTCATTTTTCTGATAAGATAAATTGGAGTGTTTTATTTTGAAAAATAACCGGATGTTTTAATGCTGTATCGGTGTCTGACTTCCCATCCCACTTGATCTTTTCTGTGCTAAACTGATGCGCCGGGCTCCGGCATCCGGCAAAAATAGAAGTCCTAGCTCAGACGGAGCTGAGGCGCAGCTAAGTGGACCCAGTGGAAGCACACACATTGAATAAAGTGAAAACCTATCACCTCCGCTGCCGGAACGGAGCGGAGACGGACCGAACACGCATCTGGTGGAAGTTGGCCATCAGTCTCTCCAACTCCTGCAGCCACAGCCACCCGGGCAAGACACTGAACCCTGTATTGCTCCTGCTGCAATGCCAATGGTGTGTGAATTGAATAGTACTGATCGGCAGTTTGGCCCTTTATGTAGCAGCCTTAACCGTCAGTATGTGGGACATGTAGTGTACAACACACTTCAGTGTTCAGAACACTAGAAAAGTGCTTTACAAGCCTAACTCCATTTAAGATTTACCATCTTAACTCACGCTGACTCAAGAACCACAGAGTTCTACTTGCAGGTTTAAAACACAAGACTTGAACCCAAAAGCGATAAATACATTTGTTTCCTTGAAGCAAACCAAACAGGTTAAGTGTGAAAGCACCTCTTCCCTCGAGGGTCCAGGTTACAGTTGTGGATCAAAATTCTAACTTCAATGACACTTTGTGTAGTTTGATTTGAGTTGTTAAAGCAGAGATCATCTGTGGCCTCAAACCTGTGCATGAGTGAACAAACAGTGAGTCTTGCCTAAACGCTCACCAGTTCCAGAGTAGCTGATGTTTTACCATTGGCCAGCAAATGGAAACACATTAAAAGAGAATGTCTGAGCTGACATTAATTCGGTCTTAAGCACATATTAAACATGAAACTGCATTTGGATATAACTACTTTGTCCCAATCTGGAATTCTTCAGTTTGGTCTTTGTCTGGAGTGCATAAAAATATGGATTTGGGGTGAGTGACATGTCACATCATGTTTGTGAAACCAGCCTCTAGACTTATCTAAACAGTTTGCAGTAGGCATCGTCAGTACTGATTTTGAATGGAGTGTTCGCAGAAAGCAGAGAGGACTGTCCAAACGTTTTGCTTCCCGCTCTGAAAACGGAGTGTAGCATCCAGTTCATCTTGGTTTGGTAGAGTGGCACAGCTATAAGGCAGCTCGTCTTATTTTGCCCCATAATGCACTGGTGAACAGGTCACTAAGAATGGCGATCTGGACAATCAGGGTCCAGGTGTTGGGAGTGTTTGTATGACATTCGAAAGCAATGCAGACAGTGAAATGGTTCAAATAGGGAGCAGAGGAGTATTACTGGTCTGAGACTGTTAATTGTTACCATTGGTAGAGTCCCTCTGACACAAACATAGATGGGAAGTTAACTGGACTCCTGCAGAGAATACTGTTTGCTTAGCATGTCCATACCTAAGGGAAAAAAAGAAAAAGATTTAGAAGATCTTACAGTAGATGAAAAATTAGGTTACCTATCCAGCAGAGTCATGTTGTGAATATGAAACATTCTGCTGAACAGAAAGGAAAGCCTGAGAAGGCCATGTCATGGGGTAAAGTCAGAATAGCTGGAAAAACAGATTTGCTTTTCTCAAAGTGCTTTTATTCTAAAAGGCTTTTATACTGGTCTTCCTAAAATGTCAGTTTAGTATCTCTGTCTCATTTGAAAATACAATGTAGCATGACATGCGGTATGAAAGTATTGATTGTCCAGTTAGTATACATATATGCAGAAGCTGATGAAGAGATGATCCGTGGTACCTTAACGGTGCTGTCGACAGCTCCAGAGAAGAGGCGTCCTCTGGAAACAGCCAGAGCTGTGACACTGCCCTGGTGTCGCAGCAGGGTCTGGGTGCAGATCATGTTGTCCATGCTCCATACCTTTAAAAGGAAAACACAAAGACCAAACATGCAAACTGTGTTCCCAATATAAGCAGTTCATATTTCATAAACTGTAAAAATTTCCTCAAGAAGCCTTCTATAACATACTTTTTCCAAAACTACATTTGAATCATGTGAGGGTGAATATTTCACAAGCTTCCTAGCTTAACTTGCCCTTTACCAGAAATGTTAAAGGTCACATATTATACTTCTTTTCAACAAGTTTCAATAAGTCTCAGAGGTCCCAAAAACATCTCTGTGAAGTTTCCTGCTAAAAATCCACTCTGATCCTGTATTTTATGATGCCTATAAACACATCTATGTCAGCCATGCTCAGAACAGGCTGTTTCTGTGTCTATATGTTTAAATGCAAGTGAGCTGTGTCTGACCACGCCCCTTTCCAGAAGGGGGTGTGTCTTACTTGTTGCTCCTTTTGTATGCACCCATGGTGGAAAAGAAGTTAAAGACTGACTGACACACTAAAAAGGTCACACTGTCCATCCTCACCCTAAGTGAGCGGTCGTAGGAGGCGCTGAACACTTTGGTCTGGTCAGGGGTGGAGATGACAGCAAGAGCATAAACTGTTCCCACGTGGCCTGTCAGTGTCCGCACCTGCTCTTTAGACTCAATGTCCCACACCTGCAAAGAAGATATACCTTCAGTACTAAGATCATTATCATCATCGTTATAATATGGTGAAAAGTAAAGTAAAATGGAAAAGTAAAAAATATGTCTTTTGTGTTCACTTCACATGTTTTTATTTGAAGCTTTCTTACATGGATGAGGTTTTCATAGGTGCCACAGACAATGTGATGGTTGGTGACAGCGATGGAGTACACACTGCCCCCACTGGTCTGCAGGACGTGAACACACTCCAAAGAACGGATGTCCCAAATCTGACAAGCAGAAAGAGATAAAGAGGTTACTGTTGCTATTGGAACTGAGCATCAGTGAAAGGGGTTGCAGGTATGTTTCTGAGATGGTCTCAATGCGGCATTAATTAAAAACCATGAAAATGTAACATCTTGCTGTCATAACTGGCCTATGAGCTTTGTCACATGGCCTTTTCCTCTCTCTCTGTCTTCTTTTATGTCTGGATTTAACAACAGGGATTCCTTGGCAGGCAGTTTAATTTAAACAAAATGCAGAAATTTCACTGACAATCACAGTTTACACACTAGTTTCTGATGCAAATTGATAAAGAAAACTTAAGATACAAATAAAATTATTGCATTAAAAAAAAAAGACATCTTTTCAATAGTCTTTTGTGTATTTCTACACTCGTGTGTAAAATTGCAGTTTTGTCTGCGTCAAACATATTTAAAAACCAAAATGTTCAAAGGGATGTTTTTGAGTAATGGCATCATTTTAACAGCAATTTTTGCAGCAAAACATTTTCTAAACGACTTCTGCGATGTGTTTTGTTGCTCTACTTCTAAGCAGCAGAAAAAAGAAGCACAGCCTTTTATATCCGTCTTTGCATCTCTCTTTCCTAAATCTTCAGTCTTCTACAGACATCCCTCATTCCCAAAACCAGTCCCTCCCTCTCTTTGCTGTCGTTTTTTTCCTCCTTTTTCTCTCTACATGCTCCCTGAGGTATTCATTAGTGACCGACCTTAGCACGCACACAAACACGCAGAGACATACAGAGAGAACTTGTATTGTAGGGCAGTGAATGAAGATGGCAGTTAGACAGAGACACAAAGTCCTTTTTCACAGAGAGGAGAGAATCCAATTACTGAACACAATAAATCCCAACAGCTTTCACTGCACACTACAGAAACACACATATATACACACACATACACACACAGTTCCATCAACAAGGTTTCTGTGCTTGAACTAAAGCCCAGATTGTGGCCAGTGGTGACAACTATGGTCTGTTCATCCATTTTAAAGCTTACAAAATTCCAGTTTGTCATGTTTTTATTAACTTGAAAACATGCAGATCATTCCTATTAACTATGCAACGTTTTATTTTTGGTCACTTGGGAAACTCCTTAATGTTGGCCACCTTCCAAATTCCACTCAAATATGTCATTGATAGATAAATGTTTATTGAACACTCAACATTCTTCATACTGCTGCATCTCAAACCTGGTTGACTGAATCTGGGCAAATAAAGGCAGTTCCAGATAAATCTTCAGCTACAATGTTGAGCACATTTGTACTTGTGTGTCTGAATCACTGGGCATTTCCACCTCCACAATGCTTGCTCCTTAACTATTGGTCCCTCCATAGGTTGTGTACAATGGCACCAAGTATACTAAATCAGCTGTTGCAGTCCGCATTGTTGCAATGTGTAGTATCAGTTCTGGTGAATGCAAGGCAGGCAATGGCGTAAGCTTATGAATTAAGAATGAAGACATAGATCAGACTTCCCTTATTTTTTCTACACTTGTCAAACTTCTAATTTGGTTCAACACCTATGAGGTTAAAAGTGATGTCAGTGGCAAATGCAACGCTTCAAATTCTTATATATAAAAGTTTGGTATAATACAAAAGTAGACAGAGCACCCTCTTACTCCTGGCTAAGGATGTCAAAGGTAAAAAAACAACCTCCTTCACACTTTCTTTGTAGAGTGGCTCTCATTCAACAGCCACAAGCAAAAAAACTTCACCATGTTAAGAAATCATATTTAAGATTCCATGATTGGACAGCGGGACATACATTTAAACAGTATGTGTTTAATCTCCATAACCCTTCACCTACCTTGATGGTCTGATAAGAGCCGCTGTACAGGTGATTCTGGGAGGCCACCAGTGCTCTAACCCAATGATTCAGACCAGTCAGCTCCTTCTTCAGCTTCAGCTCTGTACCCACTATGTCCCACACCTACACACACAGAGAAAGATAAGGTTTACAGTGATGATTATGACTGTTACTGAGAGAATAGAGTACAAATTATAAAATAGATTTGTTTAAAAAACAATATTATTGACATTGCTTCTATCAATGAAAGTGTATATAGCAAAACATTTTATGAGAAGTTGTTTTCAAGACTTTAATAGTGCTTTCAAGGTCCTTATAGCTACTCAACTATCACCCACAGACAAACACTGTGTATAAAACAGAGCTGGGGCGAGAGAACACTGTACTGCATGATGTCACTGAGCTGAAATAGGGAGGAGCTGGAAGGCAGAGGAGGTGGAGGAGTCCGAGTGGAGTTGAGTAAGAAAGGAAAGTCCCTTTGTGAGAGGACTGACATCACACTCATACACACACAGCCCTACAAACATTCCTTTCCTTTTTCTCGCGCTCTCACTTGTAACCATGGGAAGAACAAAAAAAAAAGGCCACAGACAGTGCTCCTTACTTAACTGTCTACTTCTCACTGAGCCATATCTTAAGCTATATTCTTAAAAAGATTTCCTGGAAATTATTGGACAGAAAATTTCAGATTTTAATTCCTCTGAAATCTCACGGCAAGAGCTCGATGTCGGCAATGAAGATTAAAAAAGGAAGATAATTTTTTAAACCACAACTAAGGAGTCAAACAAGTCCTCTCTGGAGAAAATGTATTGCTTTCAGTCGGACTGTTGGGATCTGCTGTTCCAGGGTTTACGACTGGCCCAATTGTGACCTTGAAATGTATTGTGCCATAATACCTAGAAACCCATACGTAGGACAATTCTTTCACTGACGTTATTTGTTTTTATGGTGTAAAATTGTAACGCTATGCTGATGATGTAAAGTTATACATGCTAAAATGTACCTAGTAAATTGTATACAGTAAATGAACTTGAGCTTGTTAGCACTTTTCTTGTCTACATCGGCTGCACCCACTGGATTACTCAAATCGCTTTTACACTGCACACAAACACACAAAGGGAATATGGACTGTTCACAACTGTACCTTAATGGCCTTGAGGGAGCCGCTGAACAACATGTTGTGAGAGGAGACCAGTGTGCATACAGGGTTGTCATGGGCACGGATGGTATTGACTTTCTGCAGGGTCTGGATGTCCCACACCTACGCAAAATCCACAGCAGCAACACACATTTTGTCACTTAAATAGAACATTTCTAGGTTATGCAAATTGGACTTAAAAAGAAGAAGGATGGAATAAGGTGTACTTACAATGATGGTGCAGTCTGCAGAGCCACTGTAGAGCCTATTTCTGTGGGGACAAAAAAGGTACCACTGAGTCCTGCTTTGGACATGAGGACTGTCACCCCCATGTGACATTTACCTAATGATCCAAGTGTGTATGCATGTGTTGTTAATATGCATGTGTACATTTTCTTACCCCTGGATACAGAGAGCCAGAACAATGCCATCATGACCTTCAAGGGTTTTCTGACACTTGTAGGTGGTGCATGTGTCCCAAACCTGGGGAGGGTGAGAAGAGATGGAATGAAAAACCTCTTAAAGGCAAAACAAAATATCTCAGTCTTAAAAAACCTAAATGAATATTTGTGTATCGTTTGACCTCGACCGCAAGTTTTTCCCCCCACTTGTCTTTGTCCACTGAAGGTATTTTTTAACACTTCAGTAACTGTATAAGCCTCAAAATGAATCTATGATACAAGATTTCAAATGTTTTGTTGAAGTTATCCCAACATCTCTGTAAGTAAGTGGGTGTAAGATGCATTTAGGTCAGAAATTACCCTGTGTCAGAGAAACAAGACTAAAAAAGGGTTGGTGGTACTCTAGAGAAGTTGAAATGCAGGAGTCAAGTTTGACTAAAACATCCATGACCATTACAGGTCATTGATATTACCTTGATAGTCTTATCTGAGGATCCAGAAAAAAGCAAGTCTCCAGTAGAGTAGACACACAGACACCAAACGGGACCCTGGTGGCCAACAAATGTCCCCTTGCATTTGAAGATCTGCTGGGGGTCATATGCTGTACAAAGTCACAGAGAGGGGGTGAGAATAGATGTGATTTTAATTGAAAGTAAGAGCAGTGTTTAAATCGGAAGAACTAAAATGAGAAACCCTTAACCATTAAAAATCTTGCAGCAAACCTCAGAAAGGATTGTTCAAATAGTTCTCTTCCCTGAGGGAAAAATAGAAAAAGACGATTTTGAATAAAGGATAGAAAGGCAGCTACTTACAGCCCAGGATTCCCATGTTAAGCCTGGCATTGATGTGGGACAGTTCATCCTGCAGGGATACAGACAACTGATTAGAGGGATGTATTTCTACTTCAATGTAGATGATCATCGAATAAAAGATACACTTAAGTTTTATTTTTGTAATTTTTTAAAGGCCTCTTTTTAGGATCAAACACACTTACATTAAGCATGGAGGCATCCCTGCGGAATTCCATCAGGTCCTCGCTCAGTTTGCTCTGATTCTCATCCAACACATCTAAAACACACAGAGGCACAGTGACTTTAAGAAAAAAGTTAAAAAAATAAAAAATAAAAAATAAATACTTGCTCAAGACGTATAGCCAATTAAGATCATGAAATGTTTGGAGCTCTTTTGTAACTTATATGCAGTACAAGCGAAGGTGGAGACAAGAAAATCAAAGTTTAAATAGTCTGTTGTTCTACAGGGACACAGAGTTTGAAAAAATGAAAGCACAGCGTCTCAGAAAAATGAAAGTTTTGAAGCTGCATTGAGCTCCACCACAGAGACAAAGAAAGCAACTGCCACAACAGCAGGCGTTAATCGTACTATCTACATCTGACTACAGTTGCACATTAGTTTTAAAATCTGAAAATGTCCATTTAAACTCTTTGTAAGTTGTGGTACCTGATTAAAACAGACTATTAATTCAAATGCATTTAGTGGTATGTCTTCTTGTGTTGATGTAAGACCCAAGGCTTGGCCTATCTTAAATGAGAATACATTTGTATCTAATTGCATCATGGGAATTATAGGATCCACATATGAAACTTGATCCGTTTGAGGTACTCACTGACTTTAAGTAGTCAAGAGTATTTTTAATTTAGCCAAGGAACTTCTGTCTCTGCTGTAACTCACCAAATTTGAGCTCCAGGTTCTTCTCAAGCTGATCTAACTTCTCTGAAAGTTTGCCCAACATGGAGCGCAGGAAAGCAATGTCTTGATCCTTCTGGGCCAGAGTCAACTGCATCTCATGGAACCTAAGCAGGGTCAAAGGTCAGAGGTTACATACAGACTGAAAAGAAACAATGATGAACTTATTATATTTAATAAGTATGACATGTCCTTAGATTGTGCTGTATGCTGAATACCTGGTAAACAGACAGAAGCAATCAATCCCACATACATTTAAATATTTGAGTACTTGGGTAATCAGCGAAGATCTGTAATGCTTACCTGTCATCAGTCTGCTGCAGAAACTCCTTTAGACCCTCAAATTTACACACCTCAAGGTGTGTTTCATATGTGTCCTGGTTACCAATGAATGTACAACTGGTGGCGAGGGGGGAGAAGAGAGGCAGATTGTTGGAAGGCAGACGAATGTTTTATATGTGAGTATAACAGAGACTGATGAGAGAAAATAATATAGACACAACAATAAATGCTCAAACAAAAGGATTGCAAATGATCAAGATAAGCTATTATCTCTCTTTTTTTCTGATATTTTGTAAGAGTTATTTGAGAAGGTGAACGGGAGTATTTGCTGATATGTGTGTTTTTTTTGTATTTACCCGTATTTTGAGTGTGGACATTTGATGTGTTCACATTCTTTAAGGTGAGCCTCAAGGTTCATAGTGAGCAGTGGGGGGCAGGAGGGGTTGTTGGGGCAGCGGACCGGCCTGTAGTCACAGCTGTCCTCATGTTCTCTGAAAGAAATAAAAAATACAAGGGAAAAGGTCAGGTCAAGCTCTGCAACAAGTTGCTGCTGAGTATGATATACAACACAAAGGCAGTATGGCAGTGGAGATAAAACATCAAATACAATCCCCCTGTAGTCCTTACTTGCGTATGGACAGTTTGATGGTGAATGGGCATCCGAGGGGGTCCACCTCAAATGCTCCAGGTTTACCGGCCACTGTGGAGGTGGAGGATGCAGCCCCATTTGTGCTGCAAGCTGTGGCCCTGCAGCCATATTTACAGTGAACGAACAGCTCTCCGATCTGCTCTGCTACGGCAATATTGTTTACTACAACCGTTAGCTTAGCTGCATCCACGGGGCACTTGTCTGTGAGGAGAGAAGAAGTGATCATAAGAATATAACTCAGGGAATGTTCTACTACAGCTTTAGTTCAGGCTAACTGAAATAAAATATAGCCAATGTTGAGGATATTTTCACCACACACTTAAAGTCTCACCTGAAGTCAAGGCACATCGTCTGCAGAAGGTGTGCTGAGGGAGGAAGAAAAAGCCCAAATGTCTTTGTTATTGTTAATGCGCCGTAATACATTTTAACTGATCATTCCTCGACTCACCTAAAAGTAAAGAAATCAAGTGGATTTTCTACTACAGTGTGTACAGTGAGTTTGTCTCCATATTATATCATCTTAGTCGTTTCATGCAGATTCTGCTAAGCAAATATAGCTGGACCAGTAAGAAAGAGTTAGAGTTTTGCCTTTATTTTTTTTAAATTTACATACTTTATTGAAAGTATGCAAGTGTAAAATTCTGGTTTTACACTCATACACTCTGTTACTGAGAGACCTGATTGTAACTGCCCCTCATGTTTAGTTTTATTTTGTCCAACCTTTTATTCTTGTAATTCTGTTCTACAGTCATTGAGGCGGAACTAATTATTATTGATCGTTCCGCACGTGGCTTTTTTGCCGACGCACCTTGACAGACGTGACACAGGATGAAGAGCGGAATAAAACTTAAGAAGTTAACACACATAAAAGGATAAACTTAAGGAGAGAAGAGCTGTCCAGGATTAGCCCCTCTTAGATAATAAGCAGCCTACGAGGTATGAGTGAGTTTTATTGCTTTGTTTATGTATGTAAATTAGCGATGACACGCTGGAATTGTTATGCTAATTAGCTGGTATGTAAGTGTGTTATCTACGTTGTCTAAATGTAAACTCTTTGATTTCCTCTCTCCTTTCTCAATCTCAGTTCTCACAGGTTGGTCTGGAGGACTAAATAAACCTTGTATTTTAATCAAGACCTCGTGATTCGTGTTGTTATCTGAGGGAGCTACACTGATTCTAACACATATACACATGTCCCGAATTACACACTTTCCAAAATCCAGTAAATAAATGCACATCCAATTTCAGCCTTGTTTTGTATGAGTTACATCCCAGAGCTGTAGACAGAAACAACACAGTGTATGTAACTTTGTTAAATTATCCATTAACCCCCCCCCCAAAAAACTGTTTAATGCTATTGTGGAAAAACACTGATTAAAACTGTAATAGAATAAGATTGGACTTTTTACTTCTTAGTGTCCTTATAATGTTGTATGATGGCTGTTTTTATGTTTTTTTACTGCTGACTCCTAAACAAATTGCCTTCCCACAGGGACAATAAAGACAACCTTGACCTTGACCTAAATAGGCCTACAAACATCCTTCAAACATTTACTTTTGTGTTTTTGGTTTTTCACAGGATGAAAAGTAAAAACCAACATCCTGAAAAAGCCCTGCAGTGCCTAGAAAAATGTCATGATCTATGATGAAAAGTTGTTTTGAAAAAAAAACTTTTTTTTTCTTCAGCAAAGGCGTTTTGCCAACTGCAAATTATGAACTGCTTGGGGTGCATCAACACATTTCAAGAAAAATAATGGAGCTGTTAATACACTAACTAATGCAAAGAGAATGAGGCAGATGGACAGATGGAAGAAAGGAAACTCACTCCACACGTGGTGATGACTGGGTCCTTGAAGACGTTACAGCACAACTGGCAGCAAAGTTTTACTGACGGCTGCTCAGCAAACACCTGGGGCTCCTGCACAGAAACACACACACGCTTGATAATTTTACACTTTGTACTGTGGTTTCTTTTTTTTTTCTTCCAAAAGCTGACCTTTCATGTGTCAGAATGACATATTGTGTATATGTATCTTACTGTGTCCTCCTCCTCTTCATGCAGAGAGAAAGTAGAGCGCAAAGACATGTTGGACTCAGAATGGAGAGATCTGACTGAGATGGCTGAATCTGACCTCCGAGGTGTACCGATAGGAGGCTGATGGGGTGGTGGGAAGAAGCAGTGGAAAGATGAGGTTATAACCTTTTCATACATTTTAGAAAAAACTTTTTAATTTAAAAAAAAAAAAAGATTTAAGACAGTACCATTCCATCGTCATCATCCCGGGGAGAGTAGGTTAGAGTGCTGGAGGAGGAAGGAGTTCTTCTATGCTGCTTGTAGTTGCTGGATCCTTCAGCTGTAAGCATAAGAAGGTATATTCAGAAACTATGTGCAAAAAAAAAGAGAAAGGGTATTAAAGAAAGAAAAGCTTTGAGGGGAAGATTAACTGTGTATCACCTTTAGTTCCAGCAGCCACGGCTGAGAAGGTAGGGCCAAATGAGGCCTCCATCCTGCTCTACATTGTATAAAAGATAAGGAGGATGGGAAAGAGATTTTTTTTTTTAAACAAAAGGAGTACTAATAACAACAATATGTCACACAAAACCAGTATATAGTCCATGTCGCATTAGTGTCTTACCCAGCTGGCGTTGGGTGAGGAGTGTAGGGGAAGTTGGTGATGGCTGTTCTTGTGGCTGTTTTTTTCTGTTGGATTTGGCCAATTGTAGGGATGTTTCTCACCACTGATGGTAACCAAAAGGACACACAAATGCAGGATGTGCACTACCAGCCAGCTGGATTTCTAAGCCTGGAAAGAGGAAAAGAGGACAAGGAGGAAAGAGTTAAGGAGAAATTTAGTGAGTTGTGATACATTTTTAAAATGTAATAACAAGTCACACAGTCCTGTTAACGGCATTGATTTCACTCCAAAATAAAACTAAGTAGAAACTAAAACTTGTACTGGTGATACATGCATAGAATAGGAAGATAGTTGTTAACCATATTGTTGCTCTGTTCTGAAATTCTTTGACTTTATTTGATTTTACTTCGGCAGCTCTACATCCAACAATTTATCAGTTAGCTTCCAGGCAGTCCAGCCTCCTCCAGTGCTCCAGGGTCTAATGTGAAGGCAAGACTGCACTAAGACAACATTATATGAATCATGATCTGAGATTCAAGTTCAATTACATCTTTTAATATTAAAAAGATACTTATTGATTCATTATGGTTCACTAGAGACACAAGTACAAATAAAACTGCTGATGTAAATGTTTATTGTGATGTAGAGTCATCTTTCATGCTTGATATCAAGTGAAATTAAATATGTTAGAGGCATCCTTATACAACCTGGCTTCCCTTTATCACCACACTATTGTTCGTATAGATGGATAAGAATTTTCTTACAGCTGTGATTCTGAAGTTTTCTGATTAAAATCAGGATAATGCTGACATAGTTTTGTTTGTGATTTTACAGAGAATTAAAAGAAAGGCACATCCACACTTGGCGACAAGGGTTCAGTACACCTTAAAGGCAGTAAAATGAGAAAACATGCATCAGGGGAGTCATTTATGTTTTAAAATACATGTTTGACCTTCTTTATAGTCTTCAGGCACAAAAACATATTCAAACCACATGATTCTGCTTTGGTTTTTACAGCAAAAAGATGTATTGTATTCTTGTGTTGTTCTTTATTGACAAAGTTGGAGAAACTTTAAGAGTTGCAGTGTTTCCTCTAGGTTTACAGCTTTGGGACGACACAAACACTTGAAGGAATCTTGGTGTTCATGCGTTACTTTAATGACAGCTGTCCTTTTCTATCGGAAAGGTATCCTAAATGACTTCTTTCCCTGATTTCCGAATCTATCCACTATCCTATCTCTACAATAAAAGGCACAAAAAGCCCCCCCAAAAAATCTAGGTGGGCCACCCCCCTAATATAATGGTAGGGAAAACACAGAGTTGCTCAGTCATAGTGAGTCAATACAGGGACACAGAGTTCAGTCGGTCAGTAAGTCACCCGTTATAAACTGGATATCGTCACCTTTCTAAAATAATGGCCTAAGACATCTTTTCAAGTTTTTCAGAAAACACAAAAAACTAAACCAAATATTGAATATAAGATATCAATTATTTTTTTCACTCAAAAAGGTTATTACAATAGATGGCTATTGACACACTTTCTGTCAATTATGTAACATAAGAGTAATAAATGACCTTTTTTTAACATGCCTTTGTGACTTTTTAAACATTTTAAACATTTAACTCTGTCAACAATAAAGCATAGCTAACAAACTAACTAAACATACTGTAATGCTGAGGAGGGGGACGAGCCCTGAATCATGGAAATAACCTCTGTGATAGAGTGGCAGGCTGTCGTTCTTCTTGAAGCAGCTTCTTGAAAAGCTTGTTAAATTGCCTAAGTCAAACTGAATTTTGACTTAGGCAAAATAAGTCACACTCAAATTGGTCACACTCTTGACATAGGCCATTATACTACGGGGGAGAATCGCATGATCTGTTTTACTGAGGATGTGGGCGACTTCACCAGAAGTGGCAAGCATCATGAGATGATTTATGCAACAAACAAACAAAAAAAAAGAAGTCAAAAAATGACGTAGGCCATTATTTTAGGAAGGTGACGATATGTTCATTAGTAGGGGGCAAAAGATACACAAAATAGCTTTGCTGTGATGAAGAATGGAAAAATACACGATAATGCATGGGTGCTTTCTTACTAATATTGAAGTTAGTAACCCCCTCTTTTGGGATACACACTGCTGAGATAGAAAGGGAAGACGCACAACAGCTGACAGAAGGCAAAACTGATCCAATGCCTTTTCAACAACTAAATAACGAAACCTGCATATATATGTTTTTTTTTCCTTTTCAAGAGCAGGATTTGCAAACCCTCAAAAAAAAAAAACACACACGGTGCACAGCTGCCAAGCACTGAGGCAGAGAGCAGCTCACAGACAAAAGAGAAAGACAAGTGAAGCGAACAATTAGAAACTGATGTAAACAGAAAGGTATGCAGACTGTCAGCTCACATGGTACCAGGACCCCCCTAATCCTCCACATCCAGAGTCACTGTCTCTTTTCACAAACCAGGAGATTCCCGTAAAGGGGGCGGAACACACACACGCACACGCACACACACACACACATTAACACACACACACACACACACACCACGGACTAAAGTTGAATACTGACTGTTTCTAGCTACATTTCTAAATACCGTATATGCAGAGCTGACAGTTCTATGTATGTTGGCTACTATAAACGACAGCCCGTAGTGCCGCTCCTCAGCAGCTGTCGCCTTGTTATGCTCCGTTAAAATTGTAAAAAAAAAAAAAAAAATGCTAGCTAAGTTTGCTAGCTTAAGTTAGCTAATGTTACATTTCCTATTAGCAATCACTGCTGTAAGCGGTCTTTGACAAACGCTGCCGACGACCGACGTAAAACATCCCCTCCACGCTATTGTGTAGATAGCAAAGCAACTATTTAAACAAAAGGCTTGGGTTTAGTTGTGCTCTTACCATTATTCTTCATTTAACAGCGAAGCTCCAAGTCTGCAGACGAATTCCTAAATCTTCCTCTCTCTCTCTCTCTCCCCTCCTCTCTCCGCTTCGAATACACACATCGCAAAACGCCGCAGTGCATCCTGGGATACGCAGTTTAAACAAGCAGTGGCGCTGCGGGTTAAGGAGCGTGCTCAGCTCCGCCGCAGCACTACGCTTCCAACAATCCACTTCGCCGAGCTGCCATTGGACTCGGCGCTGTCAGTAAATTCCTCAAGCCAACTGCGAAACGCTTCAGCCTCAATTACAGCCTCTTTCCCTCCTTGAAACATGCCGTATTGGTTCTTTGAGAGACCGAACCATTATGCGACAACTGCCGTCACGTTTTACGGTGAAGGCACGTGCACGATGGTGTGATGTTGAGACACATTTTTCCAACAACATTAACCAAAAATAAATAAATAAGTAAAACACTGAGGTGGGCTTATGGAGCTATTATTTACAATCTGTGGTGGCTACGTTAATGCATTGAATATATTATATTACCAGGCAGAAAAGTAAATCATTTCTGATACTAGTTACTGCGATGACATGATTATATGGCAATAATTGTTACAGTATAAATGGCAAAAATAACATCATGGGGCATAGGCTATCTTTTTTTTATATATATATAGCTTATAGGCCTACATAGAAAAAAAACTGAGGATAATATTACCTTTGTTTCCACTTCCACAGTATACACTGAACAAACTGCAGTATTCCCCATTATAGGACACTGCATTGTGATATACACCTGATCATCATGCTGAATTGCAGATTGTATATAAAAAGATAAGAAGGGGATCGAGTTTGAATTTAGTTATTATTTGTTAGTGCACAGACATATGGACATTCAGTCACGATGATAGTTTGAGTTCCCTGTATGTTGATAAGTTTGTAGGCTATATGTAATATTTGATGCTGTCTAAAGTACAACTTTGGTGATAGCCAGTTCCTCCATGAATGCTGCTTTCTGGATTGTGTTACAAACAGGCCTATTAGGCCTACTTCTTTTTTTTTTTTTAATAAACTGTTAGCCACAGTTCTAGCGAATGATGTCTTAGCAGTGCAGTCAAATAAAGACTAAAGGTGATCTCCTTGGGATGGTAAATCTCCTTTTTTAAATGACAGTACATTTTTGTTTTGCAGAGATTCATTTTAGTAATCATGTCTGCAGCAGATAGACTACTGGCAAATGGCAGTCTATTGGTATATAGTGAAACAACTCTAACAGTCCTATTAGAGATAAAATAGAAAATAGAATTATTTCATAATCTCAACTCATTCCAATTTACTAATTTTGCTTCTCATACGAACACACAGTTTGAGCTTTGACAGTTTTACTCCCAACACTAAAAATAATAGGCTACACTTTTTGTTTTGGTGACAGTTTTCTATCTTTACTTCTTGCATAAGTAGCAAGGGTCTTATCTTATTGTTTTTTAGTATAACTCCAGTGATATCTAGATAATTTAATGCACTTCATGCACTTGGCAAATTAAGTCATTTTGTTATTGGCTCTGATTTATCACCCCGTTTTGTCGAGAAAGCGGCAGTAAGTCAATTCATAAATGTTGTATGTTGTGGGTTAAATAGTCCCTCAAGTAATTTAGAGATTGGAGGGAATATATTCAAAGTGTGGTTTTCTCCACCACCAATTTTCATCAAAGTCTGAGAATGCCTGAACATTTGGTGAAAGTTAACAATAAAATGCTTTTCTTTATTTTAAACAGAGGTGAAGTGTAACTTAAAACCTTTACTCCAGTTATGTATCAAAAATAATCTAAAAAATAAAATATTTCCCGATTTTTAAGTTGATTTTTTTATAGCCTAGGCCTACTTAAGGATATATGTTTTCTGATGGGTGAGGTATAATGCACTTCTTTATAACTAACTATGAATTCACACAAAGCTAATAGTATAATAGTTAAACACGCTCTTTTTCTACACAATAAGGACTTTGAATTGTCACGCTTTCATTTTATTGAGTTATTAATACTGTTTTAATGCTACCCTGTTTTCACCAGAAGAGGGCACTGTTTATCTAAATGTAGGCTGAACATTAGACAAGAACCTCTCTATTGGCTGTATCTCTTTTTTTTAAGTGTGAAAAAGAAACACAGTTAAAGTTATAGACACTATCCGTTATCACAACCAAAAGATAAAGCCACATTGAAATTTGGAGGGACATCAATTCAACATGTAACAGGAGGCACAGGTGGTCATGATTAATAATAACCTTTGCTGAATTTCATTAAGCTGTACAATTTGTGGCTCACAACATTCATGTTGGTCTTGGTGCTCAGCTTTGAGTTGCTGTTGGCTTATCACAATGAATAAAATATCTTGGATATTTTTATGTAAGGAATTGTGATCACTTTAAAAATGATTATCTCTGAGTGACCAAATCTGTACGCTAAAGAAGGTGTATAAATGGTATTTTAACAAATTTTACAAAGCTGCACGGTTTTAATATAATGGTAATTAATACTATATAGCCACATATATAAACAGCTGTGTTTAAAAAGAAACAAGCATTAATGGTTAAACGCCTTTCTTTTACTTGCTTCCAAAACAAATTAACAAAGTAAAGATCTTTACATGTGTTCCTCTTTTGACCACAGGGGACACTAGATTTGACACAAAATGGAAGTTCCTCACAACTGCTTTACAGTAAATGACATTGTATATTAGTTTTTGTTTATTTTCCAGTAACATTTGTCCATTAAGTATCAAAGCATTGGTCTTAAAAAACGGGGCATATAATCTAAAAACATGCCTGCAGGATCAACAGAAAAACCCACCACTGTTCATCCTGACATCAGTTTGGTGAGATGTTGTGAAGGGAAGCGAGATAATGAAGAAGCCCCACAAAAGGGGCCGATGCGTGCAGCCCTGCAGTCTGGAAACAGTAGGTGCATGTGAAAGATGCCCACATGAGAGGGAGGAGGCTGTAAATAGAAAGAGCAGGGCTGAATGCAGCTATGAATAGGAGACATTTTCAATGCAGCTTTGTTGATGTGCAGCAATATTCACACACACACACACACACACACACACACACACACACACACAAACACACACACACGCACATCCACACACACACACACACACACACACACACACACAAACACACACACATCCACACACACACACGCACACACAGTAGCAAAGTGTCAGACCATATTTGCACTACACACATTGTTTTGCAAAACAACAAACACATTGCTCCACACATTTCATTAAGACACATCATTCAAAATGGAAAGCCTGTGTGTGTGTTTAAATTGCAAAACACTGCCACTGAAACATCACACTCTGAACTCTGAATGCACATGCAGAGACACATGTGGCCAATCAGATCACACAATGAATCAGAGCTTGCACACAGGAGTCATGTAACATGTATGTAACATGGCTTCTTAAAGCTAAAACATACATGAACGCTTTTGATGCTTGTGTTTTGAATTGATCATATCACTGTTTATTTGATGCCCTAAGACATCATTCACAGCGTGTATTGTTTTGGTAGAAGGGATGAGATGGATGAGGAAGGGATGAAGAGGAAGTGGGGAAGTAGAGGGGCAGGATGAGAAACAGGATGAGAAAGGGGCAGAGAATAATGAGGGAGATGAAAAAGAGGGAGAGGCAGAGGAGAAGGTAAAGGAGGGAGAGGAGAAAGATACAGAGCTAAAGGAGGAGGAGCAAGCGAACACATAGATTTCATCTTCAGCTCCTTATTGAGAATAAAGAGATTTTGTTCCCTCATTGCGTTAGTATTTATATTTACAGCATGCTTTAAATGCCAAAGACATACAATAATGTTTTTTTTTTAAGCATATATAATTAGAAAATAAAAAATGTTAAAAATGTTTTAGGTTCAACACAGTGATGTGAAGTGGGTGGTGGAAATATCTATTTATGTGTTTGTCTGTAAAGTTTTGATCAAAAGTATAATTTAAGATGAGTTTATATAGTTTTGAATGTAGCATTTGATTGTAGTTGTAGGAACAGTTTTTTATGAAATAGTGAAAAACTGTTAAACTGCTACCAGAAAATCTGTTATCATATTACGCAAACCTCTGAAATTACATAAATAGTACAATGTGTTTAGCTTTTAGAGTATATAGTAACTGATAGACTGTGGCCAACTGTGCAAAAAAAAGTGAAAAAATACATCTGCACCTGCATTTCAAAGAGCAAATATGTTTTCACTCAGGTGTCTGGCATTAGGGCTTTGTTCTCTCTCTCTCTCTCTGTGTGTGTGTGTGTGTGTGTGTGTGTGTGTGTGTGTGTGTGTGTGTGTGTGTGTGTGTGTGTGTGTGTGTGTGTGTGTGTGTGTGTGTGCATTTGTACGCACGTGGCTGAAACACATCAAATGACCACAGACGTCCTAGCTAATTAAAATCCATTCATTTCTAGTCACCCTGGAAATACAAGCCCTGCCTGATCTGGTTTTGGGACTATATATTTCTCTTAAATTCTTCATGAAAATTGACAGTAGACATTTTTTTATTATGAATTCTTACTTGAGTCTGACCGACCTTCAAGTTTCTTCAAGCTTTCAACCTGTATTTGCACAAGTTTTTCTTTTATTGTTTGTGAAAAAGCATTAAAACCTCACTGCCTGGTGTCTATCAACTAAAAAAGTGTTTTAACACTGGCTGTATCTCAAAAACTACAAGGAGTTCAATCAAATGTTAGGTATTGGAAACAACAAATCTTGAATTAAAATTCTATTTGCTTTGATTCAGTGTACATATAATATTTGGTATGGCAATTGAATGCTAATGTTATGTTATTGTTTTCATTTAATAAACACAACATTGTCTACCATTAAAGCCATTATAAACATGTGATATCAAAAATGATAAAAGCTCTCCATAAAAAAAAAAAACCTCTATTCAAAAGTATCAGATAATGCTCTGATATTAACCTGTGGATTGGGAGAACTGTTGTGAGGAACAAGCTCAGTAGAATTGCATTGTGAGTTTGCTGTTGTACGCTCAGCTTTCTAAAGAATCCTCTCCTGGGGCGGCAGTAGCTAATTATTGGGTTGCTTGGGTTGAG